GTGGTGGTTTGAGTTTATAGTCCCAGCACTTTGGGAAGCTGAGGTGGGAGGGTCACTTGATCCCAGAAGTTCAGGACCAGCCTGAGCAACATAGTGAGACCCCATGTGTCCAAAAAAATACAAAGATTACCTGGATGTGGTGGTGCATGCCTGTGGTCCCAAGTACTCTGGAGGCTAAGGTGGGAGGATTGCTTGAGCCTGGGAGGTCGAGGCTGCATTCAGCCAATATCGCACCACTGCACTCCAATCCGGGTGACAGAGCAAGACCCTGTCTCAAAATCAAATAGATAAGGCCAGGCACCGTGACTTACATCTGTAATCCCAGCACTCTGGGAGGCTGAGGTGGGCAGATTACCTGAGGTCAGGAGTTCAAGACCAGCCTGGCCAACATAGTAAAAACCTGTCTCCAATAAAAATACAAAAAATTAGCCGGGTACAGTGGCACATGCCTGTGATCCCAGCTACTCTGGAGGCAGGAGAATCTCTTGAACCTGGGAGGGAGAGGTTGTGGTAAGCCAAGATCACGCCACTGCATTCCAGCCTAGCTATAAAGTAAGACTTTGCCTCAAAAAAAAAAAAAAATCGAATAAATAAATAAATATAGACGTGTATTGCTGGGGGCAGAGAAGGTTGGTCTCATTTTGTTCTCCCTAAGTCCACCTACCCATCCTTGGGCTAATTTACACATCGACATTTCTAGATCACAAGCAGCTGAACCTATGGAAGGAAGGAGGAGAACCTTGAATGTAACTGTGACTTTTGACCTTAAGGAAGCTGGTCTTGGGGAGTTGAATCAAGAAAGCCTTTGCTTCAGTTTTCAATCTTAATTTGGGGCAAGGTTTAGAGGCCAGTGGCACAACGAGAGCTGAGCTGTCTGCTAGATTCCCCACCCCTTTAAAAAAAAATCAATCAGACACATTGTTTGCCCCTTTGGGTTTGATAGACATGTTGTAATAAGGTCCTGAACTGTTCACTACCTCTTTATGTACTTTCTGTCTAAAGGCATGTTACTATTGTGACCTATATTCATGGTACCACAAACAATGGGTTTAACCATTAACTTTCAAACAGCCTTTAAATGAATTCTTTTATAAGATGAGAATTATATAGGCTTCCACTGGTTGCTTAGAGGAAACAAGAAAAGGATTCAGGTTAAACTTGATTAAAGGAACTGGGAGTTGATGGTTAGGATGCCCCTAGACCAAGTAGATAATTTGCCTTGACCTGAGTATGTCAGATAACACTGTTTAGCTGACATTCCAGTGTCCCTGAAAAGCATAATACATTCCTAAGTTGGTTTGGCTGAAAATAAAGTTAAATCATAGCAATCCCTTGTACTCCTTGAGGAAAATCCGTCAATCTATCTCAATAGATACACTTAGTGTCTATTAAGGCATCATTTGATATTAGGTATTTATTTCCAGGACCCTTACTGGAGATCTTTGAGAAGGTTTCAAGCTACAAAGGGTACATTGTTTTCTCAAGCGATAGAAAGGACTAAAGAGTAACTGAAACCCTGCCCACTTAGATTCATAATTATTTAGATGAATTTTCTCTTCCATTTTTTTAATTGAGAGACAATCAGGAAAAAAAAAAAGTAGCTTTCTAGTAAGCTCTACAATCTAGGTCATGCCTGGATGCTTAATTTATTTTAAAAAGATTTAATGTAAAATAAAAGGATCATCCCACTGGAGTAGTGAACTGATGCTTATTTAGATTGCTTTATGAAATGCTATCAGTCAGCTGGGCGCGGTGCTCACGCCTGTACTTTGGGAGACCAAGGAGAGTGGATCACTTGAGGTTGACACCAGCCTGGCCAACATGGTGAAACCCTGTCTCTACTAAAAATACAACAATAAGCTGGAAATTGCTCGAACCCGGGAGACGGAGATTGCAGTGAGCAGAGATAGTGTCACTGCACTCTAGCCTGGGCAACAGAGTGAGACTCCTTCTCAAAAAGAAAAAAAAAATACTATCAATAACATAGTAGCCCATTTAAGGTCTTTCATAGTTACTAATATTTATTTTTTCATGAAGTTGAATTTCCACATGCTTTTTGAATCATTTGAAATCATGGCATAGTGTCAATTTTTCTCTTTAATGTTAGAAAAGCCTTTTTCTGTCCTTCTAATAATTATTTTTCAGCGACCATCTATAGGCTGGCTTAACCTACTGACCTCAGTCTTCGGATCAAGACATAGAAACGCAATGAAACTAAGTGTAGGTAGGTTCCACACCATCTAGAAGTTAGCAAAAACCACAGCCGAGAGGTTCCAATCCTGACTTTACTCTCTGAGTCATGAGGCTTTTCCCCAGTAATTGTTTATAGAGCCAAATCTCTGATTCACAAATATATGAGCTCCTTTTGATTAAATTACTTAATATACTTCATCACTGCTTTGACAACTTTATTGTCTGTGCCTCTCATCTAGTAATTAATTATATAATGTGCCACTTTGTTATTCTTTTGTATTGTTATTTATTCTGTGAATTCCTTAAGAAAGCCTGTGCTATTTGTGAATTTCCGGATCAAAGGGTCCATGACTTGTAATTCTTTGCAGCCTCCCTAGTGCATAGCACCTCATACACAGTTGTGCTGAAATCTGAATTGATCTCATTTGCAGTTTGGGAAAACATGTTTTTTTGTTTTGTTTTTTTCAGACGAACTCTCAGTTTGTCACCCAGGCTGGTGTGCAGTGGTGACATCATGGCTCACTGCAGCTTCAACTTCCTCGGCTCAAGCGATCCTCCCACCTCAGCCCTCTGAGCAGCTGGGATTATAGGCAGCACCATCATGCTCAGATAATTTTTAATTTTTTGTAGAGACAGGGTGTCACTATGTTGTTTAGGCTTGTCTTGAAGTCCTGGGCTTAAGTAATCCTCCTGCCTCAGCCTCCCAGAGTGCTAGGGTTACAGGCATGAGCCACCACACCCAGCCAAAATTAGTATGATATTAAGTGAAAAATTTAGAGCAGATGAATGAATTTATCTGATTGTCTTAAATACTTCAGGGTGGATTTCATGTTTAGGAGTAGAAAATAAAAATGAAATAAAGAGAAGGAAAAATATCCAGAAACATGATTCACTTGGCAAGTTTTCTGGTTATTATTATATGAAGTTGAGCAGTTATAGGAGTAAAGAGTGTGCTATGAACTGCTGCCTTCAACTTTGCTACAGTTAAGCTTCCCACACATGGAATTTCTATGCCCAACTGAAATGACGATATGTTTGCCCTTAAACATTTAGTTCACTTTGTCTTTTGCCTGCCGTACCTGCTGGAGGGGCTATGGGATGAGAAATGGAATCAGTATCTCCTCCTTTGGGTCCCTTACTGCTATAGCAACTGCTAAGTAGGTTGAGCATCCCTAATCCCAAAATCAAAAATCCAGAATGCTCCAAAATCCAAAATGTCGTAAGTGCCAACTTGACACTCAAAGGAAATGCTCATTGGAGCATTTTGGATTTCAGATTTTCAGATTACGAATGCTTAACTAGCAAGTATAGAATGCAAATATTCCAAAATCTGAAAAAAAATCCAAGATTTGAAACACTCCTGGTCCCAAGCATTTCAGATAGGAGATATTTAACCTGTGGCCAGGCACGGTGGCTCACGCCTGTAATCCCAACACTTTGGGAGGCCAAGGCGGGCAGATCACGAGGTCAAGAGATCAAGTCCATCCTGGCCAACATGGTAAAACCCCGTCTCTATCAAAAATACAAAAGTTAGCTGGGTGTGGTGGCTACTTGGGAGGCTGAGGCAGGA